TTAGGTGTTTTGTATGCACACTAAAGTTTGAAAAACACTGGCAGAGGACAGTCAGCTGTGAAAGAGAACTGGGCCTATCCTCCACACTGGTCTCAGAATGATCTAAGAATGTAGTGTGTGTGTGTGTGTGTGTGTGTGTGTGTGTGTGTGTGTGTAGAGAGAGAGAGAGAGAGAGAGTGAGAGAAAGAGAGAGAGAGAGAGAGAGAGAGAGAGTCTATAATGTGGGCATTAATTAATGCTCCCACTGTATGAATTAATGAGACACGTTAGTATCCAAAATGTGGGATTTCGTACCTTGGCATGTCTGGGTTCTGGACAAAAGTACATAACATATGCAAGGGAAAGGGAATACAGTTTGAGAAATATGGTAGTAATGCCAATTTGAAAGGCCTAGATTTAAATCATAGCATACAGCATAAGAAATATTGAAAATGATATCACTCATAGAACACCTGGGATTTTTTTATCTGCTTGAATACACTAAAATAGGTATTCAACATGTAAGTCTATTATATGATCACACATCAGAGTTTAGTATCATGGAAAATCTTTAAAAATTATTCTGCCATGTAGCGTTTTCTTCTTCCAATGGAACAGAAAATATCAATAAATTTGTGGCATTGTTTCTAAACAAGTTATACCAGAAATCACAACATTTCTAAAAATAAATATATCTGTATTGGGGGGTTGAAATAGAATAACATATTCAAACCATAGACCTTTATTTAAAGATTTATTAAAGATTTTGTTTTCTCTGCTGCTCTCCTTTCTATAAAGGAAAAAATTTGACCTTCTATTTATGGCCTTTAGACTTGGCTCTTGCAAGAGCAAGTATAATTAAATCCAAGGTAATAAATGAACACTACAACTCACCTCTCTGGAGTCGGATGGTGCAAAATTATTTGTAGAAAGCCACCTGTTTTGTCTAGCTACCCCCTGCATAAGTGGGTACTGGCAGCTCTTGGGAGCCTGAATTTTATGTATTTTATTTTGTGACTAAAATAATGAATGTGTAGTCTGACTCCAAAAGGGGGCGGTCATCTTTGATTTGAGATAGGTCTAGCTATGTTTCCAAATTTCTAATTTAAAAGAAATTTGTTGCTACAGAATGATCATTGAGAAGTAGAAGTTTTGAAATGAAGTATGTATCAATGCAAAATGACATTCAGTTTTATTAGCATCTGAAAAGTTTATGTTGAACTTAAGAGTATTATATAGCTAATAAATGTTGATCATTAGCTTGTGACTAAACTGTGTGTGCTAGGAAGAATACTGATCTCCCAGTGATAGGCACATTCTAATCCCCAGAGCACGTGACTGTGTTATGTTGCATAGTAAGAGGGCCTTAAGGTTGCAGATGAAATTAAGTTTGCCAATTAGCTGATGTCAAAATAGGGGGAATATCCTGGATTATCCAAGTGGGCCCGATGTAGTCACAAGGGGTCTTGAAAGTGAGAGAGGGAGGCAGAAGAGAAGAATCAAAGGGAGATATGATTACTTAAGAATAGTCAGGAAGGTGAAGTATTACTGGCTTCAAAGATGGAGGAAGGAGGCCATGATTTAATGAATGTGTATGGCCCCTAGAAGCTGGAAAAGAAAGGAAAAAGAATCCTTTTCTAGAGCTTCCAGAAAGAAATGTAGCCCTGATGACACCTTGATTTTAGCCCAGTGAGACTTGGGTCAGTCTTCTGGCCTATAGAACTGTAATATAATACATTTGTGTTGTTTTAAGCTGTTAAGTTTGTGGTAATTTGCTACCCCAGCAATAGAAAACTAATATCCTATATACATCGACTTTGCCTTCATTTGTTAATCTTTGTGCCTTGATTAGAAACCTGCTTGGGGAGACAATTTGTTAATTCAACAAACAGTTAATGACTGACTACAGAAATCCTAGATTCCATATATTATGTGCCAGGCGTTGTGCTAGAAGGCCTCAGTGGTAAATTCTACTAAATGTTTAAAGAAGGATTAACATTAATCCTTCTCAAACTCTTCCAAGAGATGGAAAAGAAGAGTAAACTTTACAACTCATAGTATGAGGCCGCCATTACTTTGATATCAAAGCCACACAAGTATATCACAAGGAAAGAAAATTACAAATTGCATGTAATTGAATATATAACATTCCCTTATGCATGTAGATGCAAAAATCCTCAACAAAATATTAGTAAACCAAATCCAGCAGCATGTTATAAAGGTTATATCCCATGCTCAAGTGGAAATTATCCCAATAATGCAAGGGTGGTTCAACATAAGACAACCAATCCATCAGTCAACTCCACATTAATAAAATATAGGGAAGAAAACCCCTGCAAGTTCAATCCATTTGATTCAGAAAAATCATTTGATAAAGCTGAACACCTTTTCATGATAAAAAAAAAAAAGACGAAATAAACTAGAAATAGAAGAGAAAATCCATAACATGATAAAGAGCATTCACAAAATACCCAAAACTAACATCACACTCAATGGTTAAAGACTGAAAGATTTTCCCCTAAGATCAGAAACAAGACAAGAATGCCTGCTTTAACTGCTTCTATTCAAAATTGTATTGGAAGTCCTAGCCAGAGCAATTAGAAAAAAAAAAAAAAGAAATAAAAGGCATCCAAATTGAAAAGGAATAAGTAAAGCTATCTTCTTCTCAGATGGACATGAGCTTATATGTAGAAAACCCCAAAGAATCCACAAAACACTATAGAGCTAATAGGTGAATTCAGCAAAGTTACAGGATATAAGATCAACATGCAAAAAGCAGTTATATTTCTACACACTAGCAATGAACAATCTGAGATGAAATAAGAAAATAATTCCATTAAAAATAGCATCAAAAGAATAAAATACTTAGGAATAAATGTTACCAAGGAGATGCAAGGCTTGTACACTGAAAATTACAAAACATTGCTGAAAGATATTGAAGACAGCATAAAGAAATAGAAAAATATTCTGTGTTCATGAATTGGAAGACAATATTTTTAAGATGATAGTACTACCCAAAATGATCTACAGGTTTTAATACATTCTGCATCAAAATCCCAATGGCCCTTTTTTTTTTTTTTTTTTTTTGCAGAAATGGAAAAGCCAATCTTAAAATTCATGTGTAATTGTGAGGGACCTCAAATAGCCAAAATAATCTTGAAAAAGAACAAAGTTGGAGAACTCACACTTCCCAAATTCAAAACATCATATAAAGCTACAGTTATCAACACTTTGTGGTACTGGTATATATATATGTCTGCCCTTATACCAGTACCACAAAGTATATATATGTAGATGGAATAGAATTAAGAAGCAAGAAATAAACCCATAACAGTATTCATGGATATGTATCTCAAATACAGATGGTTCCCAGCTTATAATGGTTGAACTAACAATTTTTTGACTTTATGATGGTGTGAAAGCAACATGAATTCAGTAGAATCTATATGCATAAAAGTACTTAAAGTACACCTACAACCATTCTTTCACTTTCAGTACAATATTTAATAAATTATATGAGATGGCCAATACTTCTTTATAAACTTGGCTTTGTGTTACATGATTTTGCCCAACTGTAGCCTAATTGTAGGTGTTCTGAGCAGGTTTAAGGTAGGCTGGGCTAAACTATGACGATTGGTTGGTTAGCTGTTGATATGGTTTGGCTCTGTGTCCCCACCCAAATCTCATGTCAAACTGTAATCCCCATATGTCAGAGGAGAGGCCTGGTGGGAGGTGATTGGATTGTAGGGGCAGATATCCCCTTGCTGTTCTCATGATAGTGAGTGAGTTCTCATGAGATCTGATGGTTTAAAAGTTTATGACATTTCCCACTTCACTCTTTCTCCTGTTCCACTAGGGTAAGGCATGCTTGCTTCCCCTTCACCTGCTGCTACGAATTTAAGTTTCCTGAGGCCTCACAGTCATGCTTCCTGTTAAGTCTGCAGAACTGTGAGTCCATTCAACCTCTTTTATTCATAAATTACCAAGTCTCAGGTAGTTCTTTATAGCAGTGTGAGAATGGACTAATATAGCTGTATTAAATGCATTTACACTAATAATGGTTTTAAGCAACAATGGGTTTATCAGGATGTAATACCATCCCAAGTTGAGGAACATGTTTTATTTAAAACAGCTGTTCAAACAACACTTGTACAGGAGCATTCATGGCAGCACTTTTCACACTATCTAATCAGTAATGTAGGGGATCAAATGCCACCTCAAAATATGCCACTTTGGCATATTGATTATTTTGAGTTTAAAGGCACTTGAAAAATACCAGATGCAAGAAGGGCATGCTGACCTTCCTTTTTTTAATGAAAGGAGGAGATAAAACTCTCATGTGATAGGTATTATCTGTATACCAGGAGGAAGAAACACATTCTTATTGCCAGTAATGGGGAGTCCAGGTTTGAGGGAAAGCTGTACCAAAAAACCTTCTTAGTGACTTTACCACAACTAACTCTCTTAGCCCAAACACCATTGTCTTGTTATGTTTTCACAATTTACCACACTTTTTCCAATCTAGTATGTAAGGGTTCAGGTGTAATTGCTCATTTGAGTATTCATATATCTTATGAGGGCTCCCATGTACATGTAAAAAAAACCAAATAAAATTTTGTATATGCTTTTCTTTTGTTAATCTGTCTTATTTAAGTCCCAGCTGGAGAATCTAAGAGGATAGAGGACATTTGGCTCCCCTGTCATGGAAATCACTTAATGAACTGTTAAACAACTGATGAATGGATTAACAAAATGTGGCCTATTTATACAACGGAATATTATTCAGTGATTCAAAGGAAGGAAGAACTGATTCACGCCTCTACATGGATGAACCCTGATGAAAACATTATGCTAAGTGAAAGCAGCCAGACACACAAGGCCTGTCATTTGGTTGTATGATTCCATCTACAGGAAATCTCCAAAACAGGCAAACCTCTATGGCCAGAAAGCAGATTGGTTAGTGGTTGCCAGGGACTATCAGGAACGTGCGTATGTGGCGGGGGTGGCGGCGGCGGCGGGGGAAGCGGTGGTAGCGGAGGTGTGGAGGAGGCGTGTGGGAAGTGACTGCTTACAGGTACAGGGGTTTCGGTTTCTTTTCCGGGTGTTGAAAATGTTTTGGAGCCAGGTGGTTGTGACGGGTGTGCAACATTGTGAAGGAGCCGTACCCAGCATCTTCCCCCCGGCCGCCCCTTTGTCTTTCTCCCATCCAGTAGAAAGGGAGAGTTCCCCCACCGGCGAAGAGAGGGTCACCAGCGGGATTCCCCCTCCCCGCCCCACCCCCACCCCCACCCCCCCCCCCGCCCCACCCCCACCCCCACGGCCCCCCACAGCCGCTTCCAGGCCCAGGCCTGCTCCCTCGGGGCCAATGGGAAGGCCATGAGGTCACCTGATGGGCGTGTCCCTGGTGAGGCCATCGCCACGTGCGAGCGAGGCCGTCACCGTGTGGTGACGTGGTGGCACGAGGATGTCCGTGCCCATGGGACTGGGCTCCCCAGCCAATGAGGGGCTGGGCCCTGGTCGCTAGGATACACGGTACTGGACGCGATAACGGTCATCTTGAGAGGCATCTCGTCGTGCTAGAGCAAGCCGAGCCGAGATAGCGCACCCAACACCCAGCATGTCGGAGAGGAGCAGCCGTCGAGGGTCCTCTGGTGCTGGCGGCCCGGGGCATACCCGCTCGAGCGGAGGTTTTGTTTTCTGTGAGCGAGATGGAGCGTAGTCTACGGGAAGGCCGCTACGCCCAGCGCCCGAGCCCCCGTGCGCCAGTCGACCCCGCTGCCGTGATTGAGTACCTCACGGCCCAGATCCTGGAGCTGGCGGGCAAGGAGGCCCACAACAACGGAGAGAGGACCATCACTCCGCAGCTGCCGGACACGGCGGTTCACAACAACGCGCTGCTGAGCACCCTCTTTGACACAACCACCATGTCTCAAGTGGTTCCCGGCCGGGACTAGCTGCTGTCGACGGCCGACTTCTGGAACCTGGCAGGTCCACTCGTCCACCCACCCAGCCCCAAATCCCCCAGCCCCCAAACCACCCCCCGCTTTCCACCGGCCCCAAAGTCCGTTGGGCCTTCATTCATTAATTCTGTCACTAAAGTGTTTAATGGAACCCACCTGCCTGTTGCAGTCACTTTGCCTTCGGGGGGGAGGGGAGGGCGGTGTGGGGTGAGGGGACGTGGGATGGGCTGGGGCGTTAAGAGACCTCCCTAGCTGGAAGTGCTTGGGGCGGCGAACACGGCCCCGCCTCCGATTCCGCTCTTTGCAGACCACCAGGGCAAGGGGCGGGCTCGGGCGGGGGAGCCAGCCGGCGCGGGCACGGCGGCAGCCCGCCAAGGGGGACGCACACCGCACGTCGCGCCGCCACGCACGCCAGCGGCCGCGGCGCCGCCGCCGCGTCCGGAAGTGCTTGGGGCGGCGAACATGGCGGCGGCGGCGGCCGGCCTGGGCGGTGGCGGCGGCGGCGCCGGCCCGGGACCTGAGGCCGGGGACTTCCTGGCCCGCTACCGGCTGGTATCGAACAAGCTGAAGAAGCGGTTTCTGCGGAAGCCGAACGTGGCGGAGGCCGGCGAACAGTTCGGACAGCTGGGCCGTGAGCTGCGCGCCCAGGAGTGTCTGCCGTACGCGGCCTGGTGCCAGCTGGCGGTGGCGCGCTGCCAGCAGGCGCTCTTCCACGGGCCCGGGGAGGCGCTGGCTCTCACCGAGGCCGCCCGCCTCTTCCTGCGGCAGGAGCGCGACGCGCGCCAGCGCCTGGTCTGCCCCGCCGCCTACGGGGAGCCGCTGCAGGCCGCCGCCAGCGCCCTGGGCGCCGCGGTGCGCCTGCACCTCGAGCTGGGCCAGCCGGCCGCCGCCGCCGCCCTCTGCCTCGAGCTGGCCGCCGCCCTGCGCGACCTGGGCCAGCCGGCCGCCGCCGCCGGTCACTTCCAGCGCGCCGCCCAGCTCCAGCTGCCCCAGCTGCCCCTGGCCGCGATGCAGGCGCTCGGTGAGGCGGCCTCCTGCCAGCTGCTGGCGCGCGATTACACCGGCGCCCTGGCGCTCTTCACGCGCATGCAGCGCCTGGCGCGGGAGCACGGCAGCCACCCGGTGCAGCCGCTGCCGCCGCCCCCGCCGGCGGGGCCGCAGTCCGGGCTCGCGCCGGGGCCCGGGGCGACGCCCGCCCTACCGGCCGCGCTGCTGGCTCCAAACGCCGGCTCCGTGGCGCCCTCTCCCGCCGCCCTGGGCGCCTTCTCGGACCTGATGGTCCGCTGCGAAGTGTCCCGCGTTCTGCTGCTGCTCCTCCTGCAACCACCGCCCGCCAAGCTGCTGCCGGAGCACGCCCAGACCCTGGAGAAGTACTCCTGGGAGGCTTTTGACAGCCACGGGCAGGAGAGCAGCGGCCAGCTTCCCGAGGAGCTCTTTCTGCTGCTCCAGTCTTTGGTCATGGCTACCCACGAAAAGGACACGGAAGCCATCAAGTCGCTGCAGGTGGAGATGTGGCCACTGTTGACTGCTGAGCAGAACCACCTCCTTCACCTCGTTCTGCAAGAAACCATCTCCCCCTCAGGACAGGGCATCTGACCCATCCCATTCACCCGATGGCTGTTTGCCCGGACGGGGAGGGGATTCCCATCAATCCCGTTAACCAGTTGACTTTTTGCCTGTTTCCAAACCTCACGCATCCACGTTTGCGTCTGCGGCGACAGACAAAGACATACCGTCCCGGCCTCTGCATTTTATGGTATTCCCGTTGCCGCCGCCACAGGATTTACCTCGTTGACTGAACGTTACCGGCATCCCAAACGCCTGTTTCCGTAGCAGGGGGAGAGCAACACATTTTCATGAAACCGGAGTAGAGGACATGGCTCTCTTCCAAAAAGCCACGACACGAAAATGGCAGTCCCTTTCGTCTCCTTCCTCCGCTTCTTCCACCCAACGCAGCCTCGTGCCTCCACCTTTGTTTCGTAGTGAGGCTTTCATTTTGCGGCGGCTCCCTCCCTCTAAACTTAACCGCCCTAGATGATTTCATCCTGCCCCGCATTTCTTAACGTATTTCTGTGTCTCTGTCATGGCCAAATTTTTCCTGCCACTCATCTGCACAGTACATCTTCATGGCAGTCATTTTATTCCTTCCAGCTTCCTTGTAACCACAGCCCCGGATCCATGATAAAGCCGCTCTTGTACTCCTCACGTGTGGTTTTGGTGTCCCTCGTCTGTAAAATGTGACTCCATTACCTACTTGTCAGGAGGCCAGAATTAGAACCAGATAGTCCTCTTTGGGCTCCAGCATGTATTCGTTCCTTTGAAATTTGAGCTGTGCCTCCTATGTGGGCCATGCCTCAGGGCAAGGAACCTGCAGAGGTTATCTGTGATGTGCTCCTTACTCAGATGACTGCGATGCAAATGTGTCCAGTGCAGTGGGTCCCGTGCCGATGCATCGATTTGCATTGGAATTCACGGTTCCGGTTCTATTCCGAGAGGTGTATGCAGTCTGCATCACAACTTTTATTTGTAATAGGGATTTTTTTTTTTTTTTTTTTTGGTGGGGGGTGGGAGGTAATGGGGGCGGATGGAGTCTCACTCTGTGTCTAGTGCAGTAGCACGATCTTGGATCACTACAGCCTCCACCTCCTGGGTTCAAGCGATTCTCCTACCTCAGCCTCCCGAGTACCTGGGATTACAGGGGCACCCCACCACGCCGGGCTAATTTTTTAGTAGAAACGGGGTCTCACCATGCTGGTCTCTCCAACTCCTGACCTCAAATGATCCACCCGCCTCGGCCTCCCAAAGTGCTGGGATTACAGGCATGAGTCACCGCCCAGCCCGCAATGGGGATTTTGCTACAACTTGTAGTTAAATGGCGAAATCAGAGAGCATGGCTCTTTGGTGTTGTGGGGTCACTGAATGCAAGGCAGCCTCCTTATTCCCCAAAAGCAGGATGGCGTTCCATTTGAAAACAGTTACCTTTCCCAGGCTTTCTGGCTCAAACAGAGCATGCAACCCAACTAAGCTGTTTTCGTACTTTACTGCGTCATTTTTACCCTTTTGAGGGTGACACAACTCTTCAGAATATAGCCTCTTTCTCAAACTTTCAACCCTGAGGAAATGCATCCTTTCAGCCAGAGTTGCACACAATACTGATCTGCAGGGCTGAGGTGTAAGGACACAGTTTGGAGGAGATGGTTTTGTTTTAGTCTTTTTGCAGGGGAGAGGTGTGGAGGGTTGTCACTGTGAGTTAAGTGCCTCAAAACGGGTGGGACTTGTAGGGTGTTCTTTTCTGCCTCCGTTTCTATTTCAACAGTGTGGAAGTAATGGGAAGCACAGGAGAGGCCCGTTCCACCACCCTTCCTCTCACTCTCATTTGGCTGCCAGGAAGGGTCCTACAGAGCCCCTAAACACCTAGCCCAAATTATTGTAAAAGCGGTTGAAGGGTTTATACTCCTTTGCTCTTTGGCTTCTTCCTGATGTGCTCCTCTTAACCCGGGCTTCAGACCTGGCCGACTGGCTTATTGTCAGGTTTGGGAGTTACGGAGCGCATGACAGGTGACCAGTTTTGGATTTGGGCTTCAGGAGAAGCCTTCTTAGGCCCCTGGTTCAAACTCCTTGCATCAGGGAGGTGAGGGGAAGAATAACCAGACGGTTAGGTACTGGGTATCTGAGCATAATTCTAGGAAACACGGAAACTCCTCGTTTTCCGTTTGCCATGGGCTCATGCATGTATCTCCCTCAGAAACTTGAGAGCAGGGATAGCTGGCCTGAGGCCAAATTTCAGCATTTTTGAGAATTCTCTTGTAATGCATCACTTTAATATCAAAAGCCAACACTGATTTCTAGCATGGCAAAAGCAAATATTTTCAGAGGACATGATTAGTTTGATTTTTAACTTGAAAACCGGTGAAAACCGGTTGCGGGGCGGCGGGGCTTGGGGGGGAAGGGGGAAGATCCTTGTCATTTAAATGTCCGTCGACAATTCCAAATTCACATTTAAAACAGTGGGCCGGGCGCGGTGGCTCACGCCTGTAATCCCAGCACTTTGGGAGGCCGAGGCGGGTGGATCACGAGGTCAAGAGATCGAGACCATCCTGGTCAACATGGTGAAACCCCGTCTCTACTTAAAATACAAAAATTAGCTGGGCATGGTGGCGCACGCCTGTAGTCCCAGCTACTCGGGAGGCTGAGGCAGGAGAATTGCCTGAACCCAGGAGGCGGAGGTTGCGGTGAGCCGAGATCGCGCCATTGCACTCCAGCCTGGGTAACAAGAGCGAAACTCCGTCTCAAAAAAAAAAACAAAAAAACAGTGTAAACCGTCGGGAATGTTGCCAGTGAAGCAGTGACCCTTTAACAGTGTTGGGGCTCCCCTTCTCCCCATTATGAGGTAATCCTAAAAGGGGAAATGTTGCTTATCAAAGAATATTTTATACGTGAATGGCTCAAAGACATAAAGACGTGTGAGAACCACTATGCCAGAGGAAGGTGATCAAGACTGAAATTACCGTATTAGGCAAGATTGAACCACTGCACTGCAGCCTGGACAACAGAGTGAGACTCTGTCTCAAAAAAAAAAAAAAAGAAGAAGTTCAACTATCTTGAAACATGCTGTAAGGAAGCCCAGGCCTCAAGGAAAATCCATGTAAAGTTACATCAGTCAACAACCCCAGATTCTGTCCTAGCTGCCAGTACCAACCACCAGAAAAGTAAGAGAAGGAACTTCCAGATGATTCTAGCACCCAGCTGTTAAATATTCCTAACTGAGGCTCCAGATACTGTGGAGCAGAAACCACCCATCCCCTCCTGTGTCCCAAAGTCTTCATCTATAGAATCTGTGAACAAAGCATAATTTTTATGACACTAAGTTTTGAAGTGGCTTGGTACACAGCAATGGTAACTAGTACAGGTAGAGAAAGCCACTTTGAGGGAAGCAGTGACCTTAAGTGGGGAGATACAGAGAACTCTTCTACAAGGAGGAAGTCAGAAGAATAAATATGCCAGTCTTTTGCCAGTGCTTCCTGTTGGTAAAATCCAACCAAAAGCTGGAGGACAAGGTAGCCTGTTGATGTATTCTATACAAGGTCAGCTCACAGAATGAGAAGCAGGAAAATAGATCTAAAGGGGCAAACAAAAGTTATCTTGCTTGGGGCCACTTGAGGACTTTGAACTTTATTATGAAGACAATAGGAAGACATTGAAAGGTTTTAGGCAGGGGACTGATGATTATCCTGAAAATGATGTGCAGCTTTTATTAGAGAACAGATTAGAAACAGGGGAAGGCTAGTTAGGAATGTAATACAATTGATCAAGCCTGTGGTGATGGGACCCCAGGCTGTGGCAACAGTGGTATAAATGGAAACAGAAGAAAGAGATGTGAGAGGCATTACAAATAAAGGATTGACCAGATTTGTGGATCCATTCATCAGGGGATATAAAAATGAGGGAAGAGTAGACAATAATGCTAAGGTTTTAAGCCTTTTGGGATCTTGAGTTTACCTCTAGAGAATTTATCAGTTCCCTAAATTTCATCCATCGTTTTATGTGGAAGTCATGAATCTTCATCTCCATCCATGGTTTTGCCCCCTAAACTTGTCTTTCGCCTATGGCCTGCTGGACATTTCAACCTGATTGTCCTACTGTAACCACAAACGTAGGATATCCATAAGCAAACTCACAATCATCAGTTTACACAGTCCTGAATCACATATTTCTGTCAATATAGCATCTCTTCATTTCTATCATCTATGAGCCTTGACAGTACTGCATTTTTTTGATATGTCCATAATAACTCCTATTGCTCACAAGTGAAAAATTAGTTTTTGGAGTTAAGTTTGTAGAAGAGTGTTTGTCCAATATCTGAAATCTGTCAAAATTCTTTGAAGTATTCAGGCATTATCTTTAAAGGACTAATTACATACCATTAAGGTTCCAGTGGAATTTCCTCGATAAGTCTGCCACTTCTTCCCATCAAGACTATACATGATGATAAACTGAGAGATGTAGAGGCTGGAGAACTTCTGACGGGCACCCTGGGTCTTGATGCCATGAATAATCGTTGGTGCCAATAGATCCACCTACCAATGAAAGCAACACTTTTTAACTTTTTTTTTTTGAGACGGAGTCTGACTCTGTCGCCCAGGCTGGAGTGCAGTGGTGCGATCTCGGCTCACTGCAACCACTGCCTCCTGGGTTCAAGCAATTATCCCGCCTCAGCCTCCCAAGTAGCTGGGATTACAGGTGTGCTCCACCACGCCCAGCTAATTTTTGTATTTTCAGTAGAGATGGGGTTTCATCATGTTGGCCAGGATGGTCTCGATCTGTTGATCTGGAGATCTGCCTGCCTCGGCCTCCCAAAGTGCTGGGATTACAGGTGTCAGCCACTGTGCCTGGCCTATTTTAACCTATTTTTAAATGTAAAACTAATTATTGGCTTAGAAAGAATTTACATTGCTACAGATGTGTCCATCATTACCTTAGATGTGCAAGTGAAGCAGTCACCAATGTTGAAATGTGCATGTGTGTGTGAAGCTGTGGGATAAACAGTAGAAATGAATAGGAAGATGCTTATTGAGTTCCCAGCCTGCTTCTTGACAAACCAAACCACTACCAAATCATTGAGCCCCCATTTCCTACACACACACACACACACACACACACACACACACACACACTCTCTCTCTCTCTCTCTCTCTCTCTCTCTCTCTCTCTCTCTGTCTCTCTCTCTCTTTCCCCCTCTCTCTTTTGTGGACTCACATAAGCTAATGGACTCATATAAGCTAATGCTTTGCCTACACCTCAGCCTCACACCAAAGCCAATTTCCTCCTCTCTCCCCAAACCAGACCCACCCCAACATCACTGTCAGTGATGAACTGCTACACTTCCTTTGAGTGTTAGTTCAGAAACTATTTTCTCCTGGTGCTTCTATGCATCTACTTCACTTTATATATAACTTCCTTATAGCAAATTATTGCATCATATTATAAGGTTGCTTTGCTTTTCTGCTTTCCTTATTAGACTTAGATACTTAAGATAGTGAACCCATTTGAGTGACCTAAACTTTCTGTGTCTCAATTTATCTGTAAAGTGAAGATAATACTAGTTTTTATCTCAAAGGGTTGCCGTAGGGTTAAAGAGCACATGTAATGTGCTGAGTTCAGTGCCTGGCGCATACAAAACACTCAGTCAATATTAGCTTTTATATTCTCTCTAGTCCCAGCACCTAAAATGGTATCTGGTATAATACTGCTGTATAGCAAATGCTTTGGAATGAATGAGTGAATAATGGAACAGTAGTACAGAATGGGCACCACTTAAAGAAGAGGTCATGGACTGCAAGAACATTAGAAGTATCAGTTAGTGTTCTAACAAGCAAGTCAAATTTAGCATGTTTTCACAGATGTCTGACACATACAAATTGGACTGGTCATGACTCTTGTGTTTAATAACTGTCTCCTTTAGCTGACTGTAAGTTCCATTCATACACTCATTCAAAGAATTTTTTTAGCACTTCCTATGTGCTAATGACTGTTTTAGATACAGGGAATAGAGTTATAAACAAGAAACAAAGCCCTGCCCTCATGGAACTTACAGTCGAGTAGGGAAAATAGACCTTATATCATATATGTTTTTATTTGTTTACAGCATCAAGTAGTGATAAGTGCAGGAGAAAAATGAACAGGACAGAGAGTGTCAAGGTCTTCAGAAGTTGCAGCATTGTCTTTTTCCAGATTAGATGGTATTCCCCATTGAAGACACTTCATTTTACCTCTTGGTATTGTGGCATAAAAAACTGAAAGAACCAGGCACAAAAATCATGATTTTTACTGAATTGACTTGCACCATTTCTTCATATGGATACAGTGTAAGAGTTCTTTCTTGGACCAGTGACTATTGTATCTTCCAGCAGCCTTGCTAGAATAAAGCTGCAATAGAACAAGGCTACAATAAAGCCTTGGAAGCCTACTTATATTGTGCAACTGATGAATGCTTGCCAAACTACCAGGCTTATCTGCTTCATCTTCTTGTGCCTCTTCTACATTGTAATTGGCACCTGGGAGCAGTTTGGCAATTATAGACTCAATAGCTTCACCTATGTACCCAGCCAGGTGTTTCAGTGTAACTACAAGACACGTCTCTCTACTAGGAAGTAGGCAAGATGGTAATGAGTTTCATCATATAAAAGTACAACATTGCAGCTGCATGTCTCCATGGGGCCTGCTGATTTCCCCCTATGCATTGCCTGGTCTTGGCCACCTGGTGCTCCTCAAATCAGCCCAGCGCTCTTGTGCATTGAGGCCAGGTTGTTGTGCACTCTTCAGGCCTTCTCACAAGAACAAATGCCTTCTCCAACTCCCTTGCTTGTCAGCATCGCTTTCAACTCCATCTCCATGCTTTATTTTATAAAGTTACGAGATATACAAAAAGTTTAGCTGGATCTTAGTAGAACAGTTGGCAAAAACCACCTTGAAGATAAGGCGATTTAATACTGGTAGATGATAACATAATTAGGTGTATTTGTAACTGGTTTAATTACCATAAGTAAATAGTGATAGTTAATAGATGGTTATCAACTTAAAGGGAGCATTCCAGAAACAGTGTAGTACAGAGATTACCAATTAGGGCTCTGGAGCCCAACTATCAGAATTTGAATTTTGGGTTAGTCACTTATTAGCGGTGTGACTTGGGCCACAATAACTTCTCTATGCTTCAATTTCATTATCTGAAATGAGGACAATAGTAACATCTATATCACAAGGTTGTGATAAGGACTTAACAGCTTGATTTGTATTCTGCACATACTAAGGAAGTCTTGTCTACTTCAATATTTTGATTATGACTTTGCTGTAGTATTACCGAGTTTACTGATCAAATCAGTAGCTGGAAAAACTAGGAAATACTTTGGGATACTGAAGATTGGCAAGCTGAAACAATGGGCCAAATCTAGTAAGTGGAAACAACAGGGTGTATCCTTCAGTGTTCATTGGCTAGTCACAGGACACTCTATTTACTAGTCTTATTAGATTGTATCTAGTAAGGGAGATATAATTCCCCCCTCACAAATAAGAATGTTATTACAAAAAATTAAACGGAACAGACACAGGGCAGCCAAATAGATAAACATGTCCTCTACATAGGGACACATTTAAGGTTGAAAATAACCACAGAAATACAAGGTGAAGAGCATAACATGTGGTTTGGCAGAAGCATAAACAAACAAAAAATACTTAGGGATTAGTGAAATGCAGCTCGGATTGAGTCAAAATTGGCAGTGTCTGTAAAACAATGCTGTGGCATTAATAGACATGTTATTTGCAAAGACGGAAACCCAAATGTTTTCTCCATTTCCTGTTTGGGGTTCTAGAAGACATCTAGCCTAATGTTTAGGCAGAGAGGCTGAGTAGGCACTTCCAAGCTGCCCTCAGCTTTTGTGAGGCATGGAGGACACCATAAAGTTTCCATCTGTCTGTCCTTGAAGGGGTCTGATTTATCATATGTTGAAATGATAGTATTTTCAGATATGTTGAGTTAAATAAACTGTATTATTAAAGTGAATGTCACATTTTTGAAAACTTGGCTACTAGAAAATGTAAAATTACACATGTGGTTTGCATTTGTGAACCATTTGTTTTATGTTAAAATAAAGGGGATTGGAGGACTTTAGGACACCTGGGCAGTTGGAAGCATCTAATAATAACATATACTGTCTTGAGAGATGACGAGTTCAATATTATAGAAAATATTCAGATGTTCTAATCCCAGTAGAAGGACTAAAATACAGAAATAGGATATATCAGTATACTCAATTCTATTCCCATATCTCTTGTTCATGACTGCTTTTGTATAAATCATAAGCCATTCTGTTCTTCAATTTTCTCATATTCATAGAATTCTTTGAGTTTACAATAGGAATAAGTAATTCGATTGATTGAATGTGATACATTGTCCATCACTGATTAAATTTTCTAACCTTGATCCAAGAAAAGGGCTCCTTGGTGCTCCAGGCATTGATTGATCCGGAATAATGAAGTCTAGCCAGCTTTGGGGCCCACTGTCCTTTGCCCAAGTAAAGAAACAGAGATTAAATTAAATTCAATTCAGCCTAGACACCTGAGAGTAAAAGCATAAAGGCTTTATGGCATACCAGTAACAATTACTATCTAAGGATTTTGCTTATCTTTGTTGTTCATTTTATTTTCTAAAATTTATAATTTTGTTAATTGTTAGCACCTCGAATTAGCTGATACTGCAATTTGTTACCAGCACTACCAAATAATAATATTATTATTTCTTTTATTTTCTTTTTTCTTTTTTTTTAAGATGGAGTCTTGCTCTGTCGCCCAGGCTGGAGTGCAATGGCATGATCTTGGATCACTGCAACCTCCGCCTCATAAGTTCAAGCAATTCGCCTGCCTCAGCCTCCCAGGTAGCTGGGACTACAGTCACACGCCACCATACCCAGCTAATTTTTGTATTTTAGTAGAGACGGGGTTTCACCATGTTGGCCAGGCTGGTCTCGAGCTCCTGACCTCAGGTGATCTGCCTGCCTTGGCCTCCCAAAGTGCTGGGGTTACAGGCGTGAGCCCACTGCAGCTGACCAGGAGTCTTGTGAGCCACCATGCCTGGCCTATTATTTCTTTATTATACAATGTATGTTCATTGTAGAAAAATCAGAAATGAAAAGTAAAAATAAAAATAAGTAAAAAGATAAATAAAAATTTTAAAATGTAACCCTTCCACCTAGTGAAAAATGTTACTATTTTGGTATATAACTCTTAAGCCTCTTTTTCAAGGGGATTTTTTACCCCAATAAAACATAGGTTGGCAAACTTTTTCTGTGAAGGGCCAGATAGCTTTGCATATTATATGGTCTCTGTTGCAACTGTGTAACTGCTGTTGTAGCCATAGATGGTATGTAAATTAACGGATGTGGCTGTGTTCCAACATAAGACTTTATCATGGATGCTGAAATTTGAATTTTATAATTTCACATGTCATGAAATAATCTTTGCAATTTTTTCAATTATTTAAAAATGGAAAATCTGTTAATAGCTCACATGCCATACAAAAGCAGGCAGTGTGCTACATTTAGCTTGTGGGCAGTAGTGCTCTAAAACAATTTTTGAGAACTCTCTGTAGACCCTAGTCAAACTTTACCTTTAGTGCTCATAGGAAAGTATAGCTTCCTGCTACAATGAAGAGGATTGACTCAAGGAAGAAATACTGAAGGTAGGGAAGATATTTAAGGAGGCAGTGTCATTGCCCAGGTAAGAAATGATGTTGGCCTGAATTAAGATGGCTACAACAGTGGGAAGTGGAGAGGAGGAGATATTTTTGAGAGGCACTTATGGAATAGAACTAATAGAAGCATGGAGATGGATTCATTATCTGAGATTCTCCAACAGATCATTTAAAAAGATATAATCAGCCCAGGTTCTTGGGGCAAAAATAATAGTATTTACCATATTGTCCTGAAGCTGTAATTTGAAAATCTCTAATGCGTCCAGAAGCCATTCCCAAGGGAGTCTGACACTCTGAAATGAAACAGGTGGAACACAGTAACTATAAGTGCACAAAATTCAACTTCTCAAATATAAGTCAGTGAAAATGGGAGAATGTCAACATGCTCATATTTTTTAGTGCTTATATGTGCCAAGAACTGTACTAAATGCTTTACTGTATTAGTTCATATGATTCATCCTAACAGGTGCTACAATGATTCACATTTTACAGCTGAAGAAACTGGGGTCCATACATAAATAGACCAGTGGTTCTCTTATTTGTTTAGGGTTTAAATCTCCAAACTCTTCCAAGTAATATTTATAAGTTATCTGGTAACTAAATCAACATTAAATTCCAAAATCTGCTACTAGAGATCTTAGAGCTTTACCAAGTTGTGAAAATGAGGGATTTTTGGGGGGTCAATTATTTAGAGCTTCAGGTTCAAAGTTTTCAAAACTTCGAGTATATCTGCCCTCCTCTGACAACTCTGATGATTTCTACCAGCAATATTCATTTTAAATTTGATAAGGATGTAAGCTTGTATTTATTTCCGGACACAAGCAACCATTCCAGAAAGGAGGAAAGCTGTAAAGAAGTAGGCTGAGTAGGTAGGGAACCTCTGACCACATTGCTACTCACTGTTGTTGTACACCAGAAAAAGTGTGCTCATCCCAGCATGTAGGTGCTCGCCAATAAGGCATTCTACCCGCCAAATTCCAGCTTTGGATGGTAACATTTCCACTGTCTCAAAAACACCTTATAAAAACCAAAAGGAACAAAAATTATTTCTTTTCATTAAAAAATGAGCATGAGATACATTGGTTTATGTGAAATATCAGAGGAGACCTACCAAATTTTGTAGTTCCACTACTCTTGGACCCCTCAAACCCAAAGTGCTTGCTACATGACCTCTACAGTTCGGGGTCATGGAAATTTAGTTCTGACCACTCCCTTCCCCACCAGGAAATGAGAAACAGCGTGACTGAATTCTTTGATGGTGGGGAAAGAGAATGCTACCGCATTATGGTTGACCTACACTCCCAGGGATTTTCTGAGCAAAAGGTGTGTTTCCCATTGGCCAGATGTAGACTCTGAAAGAGTTAAGTCATGGTGAGTTCCTACTGGATTCAGTCCACTAGGGCTTCCTAGAGGGGTAAAGTTACCCCAGCAACAAGAAGCTACAGGTGAACACTGAGGGCTGAGAAATGAGTCACAAGTGACCACCCAGAATAAAGGTGGATGAAACCAGGTCAAGGGGATTTCATGACACAGTCACATAAGGGAGTCTCTAAAGAGCCCTGAGAAAGTGCCCTGCAGGAGAAAGAGTCAACTTTAAGTATTGCCAGGCACAAACAGTGTGAAGCTGGTTTACAACAATGGTGTCAGTTGTAAGTAGGTAAGAACTGTCCTAACCCCTTACTTTTAACCTATTCGTGCTGGAGTTCAAAACAGCAGCTAGCAAGGGGTTGTGGGGAAGCACGACCATCACAAGGTACAGAAAGAGAGGACTCAACCATGTCTCCCTTTCCCAGTGCAGACTTCCAGCCTGACGCAGGCTTAAGTTGAAGGAGGGGAGATTGAAGTTAAATCAAGTTCAGAATTTTGATTAATATCTTGGAGTGGACATTGTAGTTTCTGATTTGAACTGTATTTGTGACATACAGTGACTTTAGTCCTGTTTATTACTTAAGAGTGAGCAGAAAAGTTACAGGGCTTATCAGAATTTTTACAAAGCAAAACGGGAAGTTTACTCCCACTATTAAACCGGAGTTTTTTTTAGAGACAGGGACTTGCTCTGTTGTCCAGGCTTGAGTGAAGTGCTGCCATCATAGTTCACTGCAGCCTCAACCTCCTGGGCTCAAGCAATCCTTCCGCCTCAGCCACCCAAGTAACTGAAACACCACATGCCTGGCTAATTACTTTATTTTTTGTAGAGACAAGGATCTTGCTTTGTCACCCAGGCTGGTCTTGAACTCCTGGCCTCAAGCGACCCTCCTACCTTGGGCTCCCAAAGTGCTGGGATTACAGGCGTGAGCCACCACACCTGGCCACGCCTATTTTAAAAGGGCAGTGGAGAACCAAAATAAAATTGTATTCTGACCAACATTATGAGTAGTGTTTAATCAATATACTGGCTACATACATAAACAAATCACTCTTTGGATGACTACTGGTGCCTTATGGGATTTGAGGTGGTAAGTGATAAAGGAATAAATTCCTTTTCCGTAAGAAAGTAAAGTGACATTAATTATCCATTTATTCTGTTCTACTTCCTTTTTAGTAATTTTTCTATATCTGAACTTACCTTGTTAATTTGCTAATTAATTATTATTATTATTTTGAGATGGAGTCTTGCTCTGTCACCAGGTTGGAGTGCAGTGGTGTGATCTCAGCTCACTGTAACCTCCACCTCCCTGGTTCAAGCGATTCTCCTGCCTCAACTTCCAGAGTTGCAGGGACTACAGGCATGCACCACCATGCCAGGCTAATTTTTTGTATTTTAGTAGGGTCAGGATTTCACCATGTTGGCCAGGATGGTCTCAATCTCTTGACCTTGTGATCCTCCTGCCTCAGCCTCCCAAAGTGCTGGGATTGCAGGCATGAGCCACCACGCATGGCCTTCGTTTGCTAATTTATTTATCTCCCTGTAGGTTTGAAAAAGTGTTATCTGAGAGCATGGAGCTTGTCTGCTTTGTTCACTGATTGTGTTCCCAGTGCCTAGACCATTTAAAGTAAGTACTGAACAAATAAAGTAGGTAGAAGAAAGAGCACAAATGAGCTCATACCTGGATAGAGATTGTACACTGCCATTTTATATTCCTCTTTTTTCCGTACAGTGAACACATGTCCACTGAAATGAATAGAATGGATGTTTTCATTGCTGCCCATGCTGAGCAGATACCATCGAATCCTTTGATCCTGAGCCATTACTAAGCCGGGTAGTGTATCCATTATGTAGCCATTGATTGCTGGAGAAGGACACAGAAAAGCCTGTTAAAATCTATTGTAGTAGTTTCTTTCCCTCCACTCCACCAAAAACACTGACATCTATGAGAATTCCACTCCCACAGTTATACTCTAAATAAATACAATGTTCAAGTCTCTGGATCAAATCTCATTTGTCAAAGTGCAATCCGCATTTCGCAGTGGTCATGTCTGGATGTGGAATATATTACCATGGAAGCGATAATTCTCTTTAAAAGTGGGATCTTCCATCTGGACATTGCAGGGAGCCCTGCAGTTTCTTTCCATGTTTTCAGTGAAGTACCAGCTTTTGGTCTCATCAAAGATAGTGAAAAACAGAGCAAATTCTTGTATTGTCACTTGTCTCCCATGAGCAGGGTTCAGTGTGTTAGTGTGGCAGACCAGAAGGGGTCCAATCAGGCCTGAATGCACATCTTTTTCCTAGGGAGGGAAGACATCGATCCTATGAGTATAAGCTCTCTCACCTATGAACCAGAGTGGATTTCTCATGAATTTTTATGCCACTCCAGCCTGCCTCCCATCTTCCAAAAATATAATTCATCATCTTCAGTAGATTCCAGAATGACCTTTCTAAAACACAAATATGATGATCAACTGTCCTATTTAAAGCTTCTCATTGCATGTAGGATAAATACCAAAATTCTTAGCACACAAAGACAATTTCTTTTAAACCAAAAAGTGGTCAGCACAATGGATACCTGCTTACCAGATCAACATCAGAGAAATAAGCCCAGGCTTTGCAGTCAAACTCATCTTTAGTGGGTGCCATATGATGCTGCACTTTCCAAAAGTAAGTTTTGGTTTCATTAGGCTTGACAAAGGTTTTTCTAGGTTCTGCTCCTTGCCTCTGATCTTCTTCATAAGAAATAAGGCTAGAATAGAAGGAATAGGGACGAGAGGCCTGATTTTTGAAAGTTACCTGCAGGACGATAACAACAAAAAAAAGCAAGAATAATCTTCTAGGATCGTAAAGTCCTTAGGGTTTACATCTCTAAAAGAAACACCTATCTTTTGGTCTTTATCGAAGTTTTTAATACCCTGGAAGAAGTGGTACAGAGGATGGATGCTGTTAGAACCCAAACTTACTCCTGAGGAGGTTTTGAATTCTAGATTTAAGGCACAAACTCAAAGTTGCAAAGGAGAAAATTCCTATACACTTAAAAGCAATTCCAAACTAAAAGGGAAAATGTCACTGCAGGGGTTTTCAGAGACTATAATGCCCGGAGTTGATATGTAAGCTAAGGTTCTTCATGACAAATTCTAGAATGAATGCATATTATCTTTTTTAAAAAGGCTTATTTTCCAGATTAAAAATTGTACATATTTATCATAGAATATATGGAAAGTAAAATAAGGCAGAAATTTCCCACAATTCCATAATTTTAGATCCTTCTGTATCATTAACATAAACAATCAATTAATTGAAGCAGTGAATAGCTATTTTCAGAAAAACATTAACTACTTTGATCTTTGGTTCACACAATGCACCAAAATAACTTTTAGTCTACAGGAAGTATTAAAAAGTTAAATGTAAAAAATTAAACTGTAACAGAAAGTTGAAGAAAGTATAGGTGTTTTTAAAAAAATCTCTGGATACGTAAAAATTTTTGCAAACATAAAAGCAATGAAAGCGTTAAAAAGTAAAGAATAATGGGTTGCTACCTAAAAATTAAAACCTGTTTTATTTCAAAAAGCATCATTTATAAAATTTAGAGAAAACAAAAACTTGAAGAAGTACTTCTCATTAAAATGTTCAGTGCTTTCCTATCTAATCTATAAGTTAATATAATTAATAAGAAAAGCAGTTCGTCCATGAAAGACAAATGTGCAAGGGACATTACCAGATAATAAGAAAAACTCTTAAGATGTTCATATACATTGCACTTCTGGAATTTTATCTTAGAAAAACTGTTATGATTACAGCATTATTTATATAGTGAAAAAAGAAACTGTCTAATAGGTTGTTCAAAATAAATGGTTACATAAACTATGGTTCCATAAGTTTATATAATAGACTATTATGCAGTATTTTAAAAACATACATAGAAAGTGTTTCTAATGACATAAGAAATGTTTTTGATGTGATATTTAGTCAAAAAACAAGTACCAGTATTCTGTATGGTATAATTTGAATACATAAAGAGAAAAATACATAGGAAAAATGTAAGAACATACACAAAAATAATTATGGAATTATTTTTCTACACTTTAAACATTTCCAAAAGTGAGAATACATTATAGTCAGCAAGAAAATAAATATGTAAGATTAATTTTCTTGGCCAGGTGCGGTGGCTTATGCCTGTAATCCCAGCACTTTGGGAGGCAGAGGCAGGTGCATCACCTGAAGTTATAAGTTCGAGACCAGCCTGGCCAACATGGCGAAACCCCGTCTCTACTAAAAATACAAAAATTAATCCCAGCTACTCGGGAGGCTGAGACAGGAGAATCGCTTGAACTCAGGAGGCGGAGATTGCAATGAGCCAAGATTGTGCCGCTGCATTCCAGCCTGGGTGACAGACCAAGCCTCAGTCAAAAAAAAAAAAAAGATTTTCTTCTAATTTCATTGTCCTTAACTCACCATGATATTATCTTCAACTTCTGCTCTTATATATGGCCCCAGGAGTCCCAAATGTTCATTTAGTTCTCCACGGTATAAGGGCTGAGTAAAGGAGCCATCAGTAAATTCCTGGAAAACCACTTTCTTGAACTGAGGGACACTGCCACTGTGAGCCCTGGAGAAAAAAAAGCAGAGGAAAAGCAATAATTTTATGTACCAAGTGGTTAGAAATGCCTCACATCCTCAATTTCCTAGGTGCATAAGAAGCATTTTGCATAGTTAACCACTTCATCCTCCTTGAAATACTCTTCCCAATCTTTATTAGTATATAAGTTTCATGAAAGCGGGGTTTTGTCTATTTTGTTTACTGTTGTATTCTCAGCACCTTTAACAGTGCTTGGCAAAAAGCAGGAGCTCAAAAAACATTTGTCAAATGTTGAATGAATGTAGAATTTATAAACATACTCCAAATATAAGAGAGCCCAATGGTACAAAAATGTAATCATCACCCAGATCAATAATACAAATGCCTTTGGTACAAAAATGTGTTAGGATTCCAATGTAATGTTTTGTCCATATGGCTATAAACATTTTCCAGCATCCTTTATTGAATGTCTTTTTAAAACCCTATTAAAATTGTGAACTAAAACATATACAATAAAGTGCATAAAACACAAATGCCTTTGGTACAAAAATGCAGTCATCACCCAGGTCAATAACATTGCCAACAACCCAGAAGACTCACTGGATGTCCCTTTTCAATCATACTTTCTCCCTTCCCACTGAAGGTAACCACCATTCTGATGTTTATGATAATCATTTCTTTGCTTTTCTTCATACTTTTACCAGTTATGTATACATCCTTAAAAAATATAGTTTAGTTTTGCCTGTTTTTGAAGTGTGTAAATAAAATGTCTGTATATGTTCTTTTGTTTCTTCTTTCACTTAGCATTCTGGTTGTGAGATTCATCTATATTGCTGTATGTGGCTATAGTTTGTTCATTCCCATTATTGTATAATATTATAAAAATATACCCCAATCATGGACATTTGAGTCATTATAATCTTTGGCACTTTCAGATGGGCCTGCTAGAATATTCTGGTGTATATCTTTTGGTGAACATATATGTGCATTTCTGGTGGGCACATATCTAAGGGTGGAATTGCTAGGTAGGCATGTGTTCAGCTTTGGTAGGTATTGCCACACTGTTTTCCAAAGTAGCCACACCATTTTCCATTTTCCTTAGCAATGTATGCGAATTCCATTTGCTCCACATTATTACAAATACCTGGTATTGACTGTGTTTTTACATTTTTGGATGTTCTATGAAGTTGAGCATCTTTTCTTATGAGTAGTAGTCATTTGGATTTCCTCTTTTGTGGAGCACCTGTCCTAGATTTTTTCTGCTAGGTTTTCTCTTGGACAACCTACTTTTTTTCTCATTGAAGCAAAAGAGTACTCTATATATCCTTGAAATGGGTGTCCTTTGTGTTATGTATTGCAAACATTTACCATTCTGTGGCTAATCTTTTCATTGTTTTCCGTTATGTTTTGATGAATATGAAGTTGTAATTTTAATGTGTGGAATTTATTAAAAAAATCCTTACTGGCTAGTGCTTTTTGTATCTTGATGTCAATTCTTTCTTTTCCTACCCTGTGGTTAATACATTCTTTTATTAACCGGAGGTTCCCAAACCTCAATTTTTGTCTTCTGTGCACCCACAGAACAAAGGCTGGGGGCTTGCACCCTCTGAAGCCACAGCCCAAGCTGTACCGTGGCCTCTTTTAGCCATGGCTGGAGTGGCTGCAATGCAGGGCACCAAGTCCCAGGCTGCACATTGCAGGGAGGCCCTGGACCCGCCCGACAAAAGCATTTTTCACACCTAGGCCTCCAGGCCTGTGATGGGAGGGGCTGCTGGGAAGGTGTCTAACATGCCCTGGACACATTTTCCTCATTGTCTTGGCAATTAACATTTGGCTCCTCGTTACTTATGCAAATTTCTGTAGCTGGCTTGGATTTCTCCCCAGAAAATGGGTTTGTCTTTTCTATTGGATCATCAGACTGCAAATTTTTCAAACTTTTATGTTCTGGAATGCTTTGTTGCTTAGAAATTTCTTCCGCCAGATACACTAAATCATCTCTCTCAACTTCAAAGTTCCACAGATCTCTAGGGCAGGGGCAAAATGCCGCCAATCTCTTTGCTAAAGCTTCCTATCCCCAACAAGTTCCTCATCTCCATTTGAGACTACCTCAGTCCGAACTTCATTGTCCATTATCACTATCAGCATTTTGGTAAAAGCTATCCAATGATTTTCTAGGAAGTTCCAAACTGTTCCATATTTTCCTGTTTTCTTCTGAGCCCTCCAGGTCTCTAGAAAGTTCCAAATGTTCCCACATTTTCCTGTCTTCTTCTGAGCCCTCCAAACTGTTCCAACCTCTGCCTGTTACATAGTTCCAAGGTTGCTTCCACATTTTCAGGTATCCTTATAGCAGCACCCCCCCACCTTGGTACTAATTTACTTTATTAGTCTGTTCTCATGCTGCTATAAAGAACTGCTGGAGACTGGGTAATTTATAAAGGAAAGAGATTTAATTGACTTACAGTTCCGTATTGCTGGAGAAGCCTCAGGAAACTTAACAATCATGGTGGAAAGCAAAGGGGAAGCAAGGCACCTTCTTCACAAAGTGGCAGATCTCATGAGAACTCACTCACTATCACGAGAACAGCCTGGGGAAAACTGCCCCCATGACCCAATCATTTCCCACTGGGTCCCCCCCATGACATGTGGGGACTATGAGAACTGCAATTAAAGATGAGATTTGGGTGGGGACATAGCCAAGCCGTATCTGGGTCTTTTGTGGTTCTGTACAAATTTTAAGATTGCTTTTTCTATTTCTGTGAAAAATTTCATTGGTATTTTATAGGTATTACATTAGATCTTGTAGAATTGATATTTTAACAATATGAATGCTTCCATTCTATGAACATAGGCTAGATACCTTTTCATTTTTTGTGTGTCTTCTTCAGTTCCTTTTATCAGTGTTTTACATTTGTCAGTATAGAGATCTTTTATCTCTTTGGTTAAATTTATTCCTAGATATTTATTTTTATTATAGCTATTGTAAATGAAAATGCTTTTATGATTTTTCTATCAGATTGTTAGCTCTTGTTATATAGAAATGCTAACGATTTTTGTATGTTGGTTTTGTATCTTGCAACTTTACTGAATTTATTTATCAGTTCTAACAGTTTTTTGGTGGAGTGTTTAGGTTTTTCTAAATATAAGATTATATCATCTACAAACAAGGGGAATTTGACTTCTTCCTTTCTAATTTGAAGGCCCTTTGATTAATTGCTCCATCTGGGACTTCCAGGACTACATTTAATAGAATTGGTGAAAGTGGGAATACTTATCTTGTTCCAGATCTTAGAGGAAAGGCTTTCAATTTTTTCTCATTCAGTATAATGTTAGCTGTGGGTTTGTCATATATAACATTTACTGTTTTGAGATATGCACCTTTTAAACCCAATTTGTTGAGAGTTTTTATCAAGTGGTGTTGAATTTTATTCAATGCTTTCTCGACAGCCATTAAAATAAGTATATGATTTTTCCCTTTCCTTCTGTTAATGTGGTGTATCACATTTATTGATTTCCATATAGGATGAATTCCCCTTGAGCATGACAAACACTCATTTTAATGTGTTGTTGAATTTAGTTTGCAAGTATTTTGTTGAGGATTTTTGCGTCTATATCCATCAGGGATGTTGGCCTGTAGTTTGCTTTTTGTTGTTGTTTTGTCCTTGTCTGGTTTGGGTATTGGGATAATACTGGTCTTGTAGAATGAGTTTGGAAGCATTCTTTTCTCTTCAATTTTTTGAAATATTAAATAGTTTCAGTATAATTGGTGTAAGTTTTTCTTCAGCAGTGAAGCCATCAGGTCTCGGACTTTTATTTGATGCCAGACTTTTTCTTACTGCTTCAATCTCATTACTTGTTATTGGTCTGTTCAAGTTTTCTATTTCCTCATGGTTCAATCTTGGTAAGTTATATGTGCCCAGAAATTTATCTATTTCTTCTAGTTTTTCCAATTTGCTGGCATATAGTTGTTCATAATAGTTTCTAGTGAAACCTTGTTTTTCTGTGTTATCAGTTTTAACGACTCTTTTCATCTCTGATTTCAATTATTTGGGTCGTCTCTCATTTTATTCCTTAGTCTAGATAAAGGTTTTAAAATTTTGTTTATCTTTCAAAAAGGCATTTAAAAAATTTCGTTTATCTTTCACTTTTCAAAAGAATACATTTATGCAGCCAACAAACATGAAAAAAAGCTCATCATCACTGGTCATTAGAGAAATGCAAATCAAAACCATATTGATATAGCATCTCACACCATTTAGATGGGTGATCATTTAAAAATCAGGAGACAACAGATGCTGGAGACGATGTGGAGAAATAGGAACACTTTTGCACTGTTGGTGGGAGTATCATTCAACCATTGTGGAAGACTGTGGCAATTCCTCAAGGATCTAGAACTAGAAATACAATTTGACCTAGCAATCCCATTACTGGGTATATACACAAAGGATTATAAATGACTGTGGCAATTCCTCAAGGATCTAGAACTAGAAATACAATTTGACCTAGCAATCCCATTACTGGGTATATACAGAAAGGATTATAAATCATTCTATTATAAAGACACATGCACACGTATGTTTATTGTGGCACTGTTCACAACAGCAAAGACTTGGAACCAACTCAAATGCCCATCAATGATAGACTGGATAAAGAAAATGTGGCACATATACACCAACGAATACTATGCAGCCATAAAAAGGATGAGTTCATGTCCTTTACAGGGACATGGATGAAGCTAGAAACCATCATTCTCAGCAAACTGACACAAGAACAGAAAACCAAACACTGCATGTTCTCACCCATAAGTGGGTGTTGAACAATGAGAACACATGGACACAGGGAGGGGAACATCAGACACCGGGGCCTGTGGCAGTGGTGGTGGGGAGGCTGGGGGGGGGATAGCAGGGGGTGGTGGGATTGAGGAGGGATAACATTAGGAGAAATACCTAATGTAGATGACAGGGATGGGTGACGGGTGCAGCAGACCACCAAGGCACCTGTATACCTATGTAACAAATCTGCATGATCTGCAC